TCATCAAATTTTTCCATTGTGCATACCCTTATCGGGCCCACTTTAACGTTCAATTTCCTCCTTGGGGATAACATTTTCAAGCCCCCCTCTGAAAACCCCCCCCTGAAAAGCCCCTCAAAATACTTTTTTAACCCCATATGTCTCCAGCCTAATTCTTTCCCCTTCGCACATAATTTCCCGATCCTTCTCTTCGCAACCCACCCCCCCACCCCAAAAACGCTTGCCCTTACCCCCACCCCAAACCCTCCCACAAATTTTCAAAATCCCCCCCCTCCACCCCCTCACCCAGTAGTTACATTCAGCTTCCGTACCCCAAATCCTCTTAGCAAACCCCCCCAAATTTAAATCAGAAAAAAAACCCCCTTTTGATTTTAATAAACGACATTCCCCGTCTGCACCCCATCACCCCACCCCCTTGCACTCAACCTTCTAATGTGCAGCATACCCCTTCTATGAAATGTGTGCTCTTCTCGCAATCCCCCCCAAATCACTAATCCCCAATCCCCAAAAACCTCTCAATAGATCCCCTAAACCGCCAAAAAACACCCTCCCCCTCTGGGTTCCACATTCTTCCTTCGCACCACACAGTTCCTGCCCCCATTGTCACTGAGGGAAATGACGCAAAAAATTTAAACAATACATATTCACAAACATTCTTTACCCTTACATCTTTTCCAGCCGTCACAATAACACCTATGCTTCCTCTCACCTCTCCACCACCCATCTATTCTTAACACACGACCCCCCCCCCTTCACTCCTAAGAACAACAAAAGGGTCGTCTCTCGGATCGGGTCCCCCCCCTCCCTTCATTTCTCCAAACACCAAAAACCTCTGTCCCATCCCCCTCCAATTCCCTTCCCAGCTTTTTAAAATTTTGTTTCCGACAAAACAATGTTATGCATAAGTCTTAAAAACCCTTTTCCCACGACGCTTCTCACTCGCACACAATCTTTAAATTCCTGTCATCCGGAAACCTTTTTATTATTTTACCCCTTTTCCCCTTACCCCCACGACACTTCCAGTGGTCTGCCCTTTTTCCTTTTCTCTCTCCCTTTGGGGTTCCCCTGTCCGCCCACCCCCTCCTTTAACTCCCCCCCACTCCCCAAGGCTTTTTTCCCCGTTCCCTTCCGGGGGAAAAAACTCCCGGAAATTGGCCCCCCACACAAACCCTTTTCCCTTTTTTTCCTTTCCGGGTTCCCCCCTTCTTTACCCCCCACAACTCCTACCCCCGAATCCCAAACCCCCTTCCCTCCCCCCATCCCGCCCCCCCCCCCCCACCACCCAAAAGCCCCCCCTAAAAAACCCCCCCCAAAGGATTTTTTTTCACCCCCCTTCCCCCCCCAAGCCCCCTCTCCCACCCCTCCCAACTGACATCCCCTTTCCGTTTCTGAACCCCCGGGGTTTTCCTCCTTTCCCAAGGGTCCCCCCCAAAATACCATTGAACCCCCCGTTCCCCCATTCCCCCTTCTGGGGGTTCCACCCTTCCGCCCCCTCCCCCAAAATGCCCTCTTGTCGGGACTATCAGTGCCCCTCCGGGCCCCTTTTTTCAATTAACTAGGTTTCTCCGTCCCTTCCCCGAAAGGGCCCCCCCAAGGCATTGCCCCATTCCCCTTTCCGCCAGCCAGTACAATTCCTCGTCCAAATCTCCAAGATAAAACGGGGGGTCCTCAAAAATTTGGATTTTAAAGTAAAGGCAAGCCGGCATAGCCCCACCCTATTTAAAAGCCCTGCCGGGGTACGGCCAACGCAAAAACATTTCCCCGACTCCCTTGCCCAAAAAAGGGGACATTGGGCCCCCCGGGTTTTTTCCCAAACAGTCGATAGTCGGGAAAGTTGTGAATTAAAACCCTTTTTGCCCGGACTTTTAACCACCGTCAACCTTCACGAGCCAATTGGAAAAAAAAATCCCATTTAGGGCCCCAAAGTTTTGTCCCAAAACCTGGTTTAGGTAAGCGGAAAAACCTTTTCAGAAATAGGATTATTACCCGCCCTTCAAGGCCACCGGGCTACGCCCCCCCAGACTCGCCCCGTTGGTTTTGTCCCCGGCCCGAAGGGGGTGAAAAATTTTACGCTCGGTCACGGGGAATGCCTCCCCCAACCTTTTGGGGGTTCCAAACCCCCGGGCGGGTCCCCTTTAAGAAGGGGCCGGGGGGGAAGCACCCCACAAAAACCTATAGGGGGTTGTTTATGGGAAAAATAAAATGGTTTCCCGGGTTTAACCCCCTGGAGGGGGGGTTTATGGGGGCGTTGACCCCCGAAACCTTCTCCAGGTATACCGGGGAGCGATCCCAGATCCTTATTATGTGAGTTTAGGACGCTACCAACCAAGCCACGAGCACTCAAACAACAGTTCGTATTGATTTTGGGTTTTATAAGTTTTAATTTGCCAATTTTATTAAATTAATAGATTTCCATGCAATAAAAAATAATCTTCTTATCTTAGATGGATAAAATTTTGGATAGATCGTGGTCTGTTCAGGTGCCACTTTTATTGAAGAACCTGGAGAAAATAAAATGCTAGATTTTATGGAAAAATTCGTGAACGGCTCATCCGATCGGCATTACGCCTCCAGTGCTGGTATTTAATTGCATTAAAAACTTATGCCGCAATCTATACCATTCCCTTTGCGTCTACTGAAATAGGCCGGGTTTATGGAATATGAGTGGGATCAAGCAGCGACCCAAACACGTGTACTTACATCCTTCTTTGCTCTAACATAATTAACTCTATTAATTAATCAATACACACTGAGTTTGCTGGATTTGGTGCACTCGTTTACTTGTATTTGTAGGGGTTGATTCATTGCTCATGACATTTACTTTCAAATATTATCGAACGGTTTCACTAATTCCTAGCCTACACGCCTCTACCATTCCTACTCTTAAAACTGTGTACTGTGTTTGCCCTGGGTCTTCTCTTCGTCTAGGTGAGTACATACAGAAAGAACGTCTGTATCGCGCTCAGCAGACGGAGGATCAAGCCTCCACCACGTCTTGCACTGAATGACCCACATGGGTATAGCGCTTAACATGAATTATTTAATTTAATTTAATTTGTTTAATACGCTGTACTTATTGAAAGAGCACTTCCTACCTTCCCTACAGCTAGTCAAGGCCTTTTGGTGTTTCCTGGATCTCTTTCCTCGCATATTTAAACAGCTTGTTTATCTTCCTCAATTCCCTAAGTATTTTCTATGGTATGATCACGTGTTCACTTTGCACGTGTATATGTTAATATCTCGAGTGATCGGAAGACTGTAAACCTAATCATCAAACCAACAATAAAACAAAAGATAAGAGGGTGTAAACATTTTACTAAAGACCTTGACTTTGGTGTATGTGAAATGAGGATGAGTGGGAATGAGTGAGTGGAAGTGCAATATGCATCAGTTGTAGTGTCAAGGCTTGACCTTAACCTACTTGTTACGTCATACACGATGCTAGTGTTGCTGTGTTAATGTGTGTATGCCGGGTAACCAGCACTGTTTCAACACTCTCAACACGATGCTAGTGTTGCTGTATTCATGTATTGATGCCGAGTAACCAGCACTGCTTCAACACTCATTACTGATTTCTTCCCAAGAGTTCACAGGATTTGTTCATCACCCACATTCCTAGAAGGATAATGCGACATTAATCAAACTTCCCGCCATACCGGAATACCCTCCAGGTAGGTAGATAGGGCTGTAAACGGTACTCCACCTTACAAGAATGCTCGCCTTACCCCTCCCATAGGACTATAAACAGCACATCATTTCTACAAACTTCAACACTCATTTAGGAGCCACTGCAGGGTCACCAAGACCCGGACCAGGACCCGTCCTGGCAAACCTATCCGAACTTGTACCTTTCCTTGAACTTTACTATTCACAGCATCTTATCAATGACTACAGGAAGAGAACGGAGAAAATACTATACATTTCCAGACAAGATTCCAACCGCAGTAGAAACATAATTCTTCCTGTAAAGGAAAAAGACACTTATGTATATGTTAGTTAGTTTAATATGTTTATTATGCACCCCATACCCATCCTGTGGGCGGTAGTTAAAAGATTACAGAGGTACACAATGGGTCCAGGGACTGGGCCTCAAAGTTTTGATAGCTGAGCAAGTTACAGAGGTAATGAATTCACAATTTACAAAGGTAATGAACTCACAATTTACAAAGGTAATGAACTCCAGGTAGGTCTAGTCACAATCATGACAAGTTACAAAGATATTTACAGATTACAGAGGTACACAATGGGTCCAGGGACTGGGCCCCCAAAGTTTTGATAGCTGAACTAGGTACAAAGGTAATGAGCTCACAAGTTACAAAGGTAATGAATTCTGTAAGAATGGTTACTTACGTTTATACATGGCTACAATCATGAACAAATTATAGTGTAATGAGCAATTCACACTTCCACACACGGTCACAACTGTAATAAGTTATTGGTGCAAATACTGATTGTTGAGACACACACACACACACACACATGATGTGAAGTTAATGAGAAGAATCAAATCGGATGAGAATCAGGCAGGACTACAAAGAGACCTGGACAGGCTACAAGCCTGGTCCAGCAACTGGCTCCTTGAGTTTAACCCTGCCAAATGCAAAGTCATGAAGATTGGGGAAGGGCAAAGAAGACCGCAGACACAATATAGTTTAGACGGCCAAAGTCTGCAAACCTCACTCAAGAGAGAGAGAGAGACCTTACCAATGATACAAAAAGTAGAAGCATAACCTTTGGATTTCTGCTATTTATACTTCTTGATATGAAGCCAAACATTTTATTAGCAACTTAGAACACTTGTGCACTGTTGTCTTGACTTTATGAAAGGAAAAATACTTGTCAATACCCTAAAGGCTAGCTTGCGAAACATTACATCTGATTCTCGACCATTAGAGCCGCTTGAGGACAAACTAGCGAAGACCCTTATAGCGAGAGCTGTAACGATAGGTAAATAAGCTAGGTGTAAGTGGGTGAATGTCAGGAGGAAGGGAGGATGTGTAGTGTTAACACAGTCACAACGCCACTGTCTCTGGTCACCTGCTGAGGGAGGGAGGAAGTGTACTGTTGGCACCAGTCTCACAACGCCATTGTCTCTGGTCACCTGCTATATACCAGTTGTAGTAGCATCTTTTCTTAGTCTCTCTTCCGCTACTGGACCATGGATTACAGTTTGGCATATTTAATACTTATTTTGCAAGCATTTTCCATCTCTTTACCAGTTGTAAGAGTATAGGTGATTTAATCACTCTATTTGGTTTTATATTTTCTATAATTCTTTGTATATATGAAAAGTAGTAAATACCTGAATTGTATGAAAGTTAAAAAATTAATTTGACACAAATTTGTCACATTAACTTCTGAAAAATGTCCTTCCATGTAATTGTTTTAAAAAATCAGTAATGACCATTGTGGGTTTAGCGCTTAATTTTCATAGAAATCATTAGTTGAAGAAACTTCATGAAATGACTTTACTCAGACGCAATGTATTTCCTTATGTGGTTCATCTGTTAAAATTTGAAAGAATATTGTCCCAAAAATTCACTTCAAACAAAATGAAGTTTTCAACTTTATTCTTGTGTTTCAGGCTGCTTTGTGGCCCTCGTGGAACACCCCTTCTTCCACTACCACTACAACACCTTCGTGTGTAACTGATGGTCATGATATTTTAAGATCATTACCCGACTCCTCGAGCGTCATCACCCTCACCACTCTCTCTCCCGTTACTGCTGACTCTCCCAGACACTCCAAACTTAAGTTAGGCGTAGTGGTGGCTCAGGAATTACTCAGGCTTCTACTACAATATTCTAACGCCCGCTTTAAGAGAGACTTACCTGAGCTGCAGGCCACTATTATAGCTAAAGATTCCATCAAACTAGGCCTACTAGCCTACATGGGCAAGTATAGGCACTAATTTTTTACCCAATCCCCTCCCCCCCCCCCCCCCCCCAAAAAAAAAAAAAAAAAAAAAACAAGTATTAACGGACACATTACTGTGCAGCAAAATCTTATCTAATTCTTGAATGTTTCAGGGTACCAAGGTGAGGAGGACTGTAGTGCACGAGCAGCATGTGAGGCTGGGGAACTATTAGGCAGGTACACCCCTAGTGTAACAATATTGTTTGCTGCTCTCGACTACTTTACTCCTGGACACATGAGGTCATTACTTCACGTGGCCAAGGAGGCTGCCGAGGGCGACGGATGTTTTAACTATAGGTACGGAAACTAGTCATGTATTTTTTTTAGTTTAACTACACGAACGCTCAAAGCTTAAATAAAAATTTCTACTTTACTCAGATGTGGTACATTACCTTACCAAGCGGAAACAACGTAGTAACTGTCCCAGTGTTCAGATGTGACAGCCTCTCCCAAACACTACGATACTACTGATCTTCAGCAAACAAGAACAATACATAGGCCAATTTTCCTGTTTTGGATTGATTTCCTGGGGAGATGGGGAAACTGGTAACATGTCTTATCCTTACTGTTGGCTAGTACTGTTTATGCATTTTGTGAACTTTTTTTTTTTTAATAAAACTTTTCTTTGCCGTAACTATAAACATTCATAGCCTCTCAGCTACTTTGTAGTTTAGTATTTACTGGTACAGGTCATGAGTAAGGTTATCTTTTTTGCCTTCGCTGAATCTAACTTGATATGTAATTCTTGTATTTTAATAAAATTTATTTTAACTTTTTTAATGGCCTTATTGCTGGATAATGGCGCACTACTATACGGACTGGGATTCTACTGCGTGGTACTGCACTTCCGGAATCCTCAAGACTTCTTGACGCCGATAAATGGCTCGTGATCCAAATATTTAGAGCTAACCTCTGCCTCTACTTCTCCAAAGTGCTGTATGGTCCCCTAAGGGCGTAACTCTCCTATACAGTATATGAATAGAACTGGGTCTTAAAATCTCTACCACCTATACTTGGGCCGTTAACTTCCAGGTATTCCCTTCTGGGATCAAATCTAATAACCTTCAAGGCTCTTACGACTATTAGGGTTTTAGCTTCTCAAGGAATATAAACCTCAGGAGAGGAGCCTTGATGCAGTTGAGGGGCATATGAATGAACTTCCATGGACGAGCTTTTGTGGAAGCTGGTAAGGGGATCTTTGGGGAAAATTGATCAGTCTTTCCTAGTACTTTGTAGACTAATCTGCCCCGCCCACTTTCTTATGGGTTTAGCCCTTTCTACACTCCTCTGTTCAAAGGAACAAGACATGTCCTCGCCGCCTTGTATATAGTTTGAGGGCCTCCCTGACCATGCATAAACCCTACACGTTTATCGCTTTCCCAGGGTGAAGATGCAGATGTAACTTTGTCTTTAAATTCAGGCGTCGTCCAATGTAATGCGAGGATTCCCCATGAATATTGTTCAAAACTACAGTAATAAATTCCTTAACGACTAAATATGGTTGTAGAGCCCACCATGTGCCTCGGGATGAACTTTAATATTAATTTTGTAATGTAGGAGTGCAGTACTCATAACATCCAGTGCAAGATGGTGGAACTGCTATGGGGATACATTTGTACACTATACAGATACATTTATTAAGGAAGCGCTTAGCCAAATAGTCAATCCTAATAGCTACAATAAGGCTACATAAAGATCTGGTTAACATAGGTCAAGTGAACCCCAATGTAATTTTTTTTTTTTCTTTTTTTTTGGGGGGGGGGTCTTATTCCAGGTAATTTACACATGTTACCATATATGATAATTTGTGAAACTATAAGTGTACCTATACCTAAAACTTTACTATTAGAGGCTAGAGCGAGTGTGATGCGCCAGAGTAATCCCGACCGGGTATTAATGAGCTGACACCACATATGAAGCGGCACTGGTAATGCCCGGGGTGGGCTGGTGCTTAAAATTAAATCAAATAGTTTATTCTCTATAAAGATTACATTGTGGGGTTTATATATTATAGGATATTGTGTGGTTTACATTTTATATAAAACTAATTAATTAATTAGAGAGGGCCACTATCACATTTAGTATGACTAGGCATTTAGGGCAAACTAAGATTAATTCAAAACTCTCTATTGGTACAGATTATGGAGCATATTGGTATTAAGGCTAAGTAACTGCATTACAGTTTGTAAATTTAGCAATGTGAATGGTTTTATTTTAGTACAGGGGCGCCACGGGTGCACCGAGACAACAAAATAAGTGTCCGGGGCCCAAGACTGTTCAATTGCCTCCCAGCATACATAAGGGGGATTACCAATAGACCCCTGACTGTCTTCAAGAAGGCACTGGACAGGCTCCTAAAGTCGGTACCTGATCAACCGGGCTGTGGCTCGTACGTCACCTTGATTGCGGCCAGCAGTAACAGCCTGGTTGATCAGACCCTGATCCACCATGAGGCCTGGTCTCAGACCGTGTCGCGGGTGCGTTGACCCCCGAAACCCTCTCTAGGTATACTCCAGGTATTGAAGCTCCTATATTGGAGTATCAGAGGCAAACTTATGACTAGTTAAGATTGATTAAGTAATAGTTGTATTACGTATTTCTGTTTATAGTCAATTAATTGGTGTGGGTGGTAGTCAAAGATTAGAGGCACATGATAAGGTCCAGGGACTGGGCCGCAAAGTTTACAAGTTTATATCTAAATATATTTATACAGGCATGAATTGTCACACACAAAAAATTTACCTTAATTTTAGCAAGGTGTTGTCTTACAACGGGCAGTCGGGGTATTTTTCCCGAATGGCTGGTACAAGTTATATACCACTGAATAAAATATTTTGGTTTTTTAACATTTCAGAGACTGACTGATTGCATCTTTACTTCGCTACTACACCTGATGCTTCTGTATTTGACTGAAGAAGCCTACTGTATAGGTGAAACGTTTTCTATAAATTATAATCCTGGGGAGCACTAAATCTGTAGGGTTATACAGCGCACGCGGGGAGGGGTGGAAGATATTCAGAGAACCAGAGCACAGATCCAATTCCCTAGATCAAGAGCCCCTCACGCTGACGCTGGGGACATTTTCTATACAGTTACCAGTGTTGCACACGTCTTGCTCATCGATAAATAATTTTATGGCTTTCCAACACATAATGACCCTTACGAGTTTAGCGCTTGGTTATTATAATCCAGCACATAATGACGCAAGGTGTTACAAATGTCCTGGGAAAGTTTATACGTGTATATTTAGTTTGGTCTACATCTGTAGTGGTTTAAAACGAAGCCATCAACGTATAATTTGTGTGTGCAGTGACTAAGGCATTTGTACAACTTAAGCCATCCTGCTTGATCTGGTTTAGGGCTTAGCTTTATTATATTGTCTTTGGAGACAATATTTGTAATGAAGCGCCTCAGACATTTTTATCCTTGAGATTTGTATATTGAAGTTGTCTTAAAGCAGGTAAATATCCGTACTTAGCTTTCTACAAACTGTTAAGAACCTGGCTACCACAGCCTCGTATAAATGTTTAATATGGACTGCTTTCTGTAAAAATGTTTTATAAGATTGAATTTCTTTATTTCTGTAAGGATTTTCCGTAAGACTAAAGTTTGTAGCGAATATATTTGTGTATATACCGGTCCGGGAGCAGCTGAGGGTAAACCTAGCAATCATGTTAAGTGACAGCAATAGTAATGACAAACTATTGCTCCAGGAACACAAAATATTCTGATGCTTTAGGTTTCATATATCTTGTCCTGACGTCAGATATTCTACCTCCCTGACATTTGCAGCTGTTAAGATCTTATTTCTCAAGAAGATGTAGTAATTAAAACGGTAGGTTGTGTATGTCTTACAATGAAAAGCCCACAGTTGCACTAAATCTAGCGTGTGTACACATACAAGTTGGAAAACATTTTAAGAGCATCAAAACTCTTAATGTGATATAATACATTACTCACCGCTGAGGAAGCTAGCTGCCTGTCTCGCCACACATGCTCCGACGAGGAACATCAGTACACGAGATGCTGCCATTGTTTGTCGATACGAAGAACAGTTTTACTATTGCAGGTACGTCTTAAATTAGAGAGATTTGCCAAGGGCGCGAGTTGGTTGACTAATTAGGCTACTTAAATAGTTATTGGGAATCCGGTGAGAGGGTGGCAGGGTTCGAGTAAGGAACAGGTGAACAACTGAATAGATGACGGGAGTGGAGTGAGGATACGGGAGAACTACACGCAGCACGTGTTTATGTACCTTTTTAGAAGGTCAGGGTCCCCTACGAGTGACGTCACATACTGGCCCATGTGTCCTTGATAGGGAAAGTGGGGAAGGAATGGACCGAGGGAAGGACGAAGGAAGTACATGGGTAAGGCAGATAGCAGCAGAATTTATGTTGATATCTAGGTTAATCACTTTGAAAGATAACTACCCTAGTGTTTCTTGTATCACTATTATGCCCTAGGTAGCCTGCGTTATATTGTTGATTCTGGACTGTACTGTATAACACTTATGGGTTTAGCGCTTAAGTTGATAGTAATACTGATATTGAGTAGTTTGTGAACTAACATCAAGGTTGCAGTGGCCAGCCAGACCTGTATTTTTCTTTAATTTAGTGAATACTGATGTTCTGTAACAATATTTTATCCACGTTAGAGTTACGCCTTTTGCCTGTTGAGCTTCATACCTTTATTCATTAGTGAATAACTTTAAATTTTCGTAACAGTGTGTTAAATTTGTTTTGAGATCTCATAGTCTGTTTCCTAATGAACAAATTGTTTTGAATAAGACTAAATTTATAAAAAAAATAGAGATAAGGGTGTTTGGGGAAAAAAGGGTTGTACTATTGACGGAGAGAACAAAAATTGCTAAGATATGTTAATTAAACGTTCAGAAAACAGGATAAATTATAAAAGTTACTGATATAAACAGAAATTGCTCTACAAAGAGACAGGAAGAAAGCCAGGCAAAAACTTCCTAGTATTTTCTATATAAATAAGCGGAGTGCAAGAAAAGATTATCCAAGACTGCATATAGTAATTGCATATGCTATGTGAGCTAGGGAAAATTTAACGTGTTGCATCAGAAATTATATAAAGGTGGAAGGGAAAGACATGTGATCTGCTTGGCTGTAGTTTATCTAAAAGCTAATCTTAGGTGTGGTCTACAAGACTCCCAAATAAAGTACGAAACTGATAAGGCATCAACAATGAAAAAGTAATTTTTAATGGAAGATTTTTAACTTTAACCAAAGTGATTGGACAAACTGACAGGAAATCTATGTCTAGTGACTATCTTGAAATGGTAAAGTGCCTTTTTCTTCAAAATAGTTTGTATCAGAACTAACTAGAGAAATAACCTGCTGGACTTGGTTCTAGCAAAGAAGGATTCTCTTATAAGCTTGAAGTTAATGAAGAGCTAGGAGAAAGCAGCCACAAATCTCTTAGTTCCAATATCTCGTGGAATTACCCTAATAATAATAAACTTAAGGTCCTAATTTTCGTTTTGCAACACACAGGAAGTATCTGAGTAGTGTTGACTGCAGTAATCTGACCAAGGAAAATCCTAGAGGGATTAGTACCAAATTTGCACTCGGCAGACGGTGCAACATCTCCCAATGAAAAGCAGGAGGGCCATGAGTATGCTAAGAGACAACACAGTAAGTGTCAGGGGCCCAAGACTGTTCAACTGCCTCCCAGCATACATAAGGAGATACTACCAATAGACCCCTGGCTGTCTTCAAGAAGGCGCTGGACAGGCACCTAAAGTCAGTACCT